TTTTTTTTTTTTTTTTTGTTTGGTACAAGGACCTTCCGATTTCCAGATTCATTGGGGAACCGACTAATTCAGAATCGAGCCGGGTAGGACCACAAGGGCGGCAAAGCTCTCCCTCAAAAGTTTTTAGCACTGCTGCATTCTCAAGGCTCGAACACGAGACCACTAATTAAGCTGAAAGAGAATCAAGTCATCTCATCCAAGTGTTCTTGGGTTTTTTATGGATAATTTAGCACATCTATATGGTTGTATGTGTTTACGTGAAAATCAATGTTAAAAAAAATCATGGGCCACGTCCCTTTTAGAGTAATTTATTAAATAAAACTAGTACGAAATCAAGACACACCTCTAGTATTAAAAACCTCTAAACAGACTAACATAGTGTTAACATCTAGAAATATAAAATAAGTTGTAAGATTTGATTTTTTTTTTTTTTTTTTTTGTGAAACAATAAATATTATATAATTAGATAAAATCAATACAAATTTAGACACACTTCCCTTTTAGAATTATTATTATATACAAACTACCAAGGTACAACTAACACATAAAAATACAAGCTTATAAACTTTGGTGTTAAATTACACGGGAATCCTACGAACTGATATGTATTTTTCAGTTCTTACAAATAATCTAAAATAAAAAATTACAATTGAACTGAAAAAATAAATTACAACTGAAAAGCGGAAAGATTTTAGCCGAGGCGAGTAAAACTTTTTCCGCAAGAAGAATACGCCCCATGTGATGCTAACGGTTCAGACATAACTTCCCCAAAGATACAACGGCAAACGTCTCTAAATCTGTAGCACACCAGATTTACGAGCTCCGGCGAACTGGAACGGAATCAAGAATTGAGCACTTGGAAATAAAAGGAATATTAAAAAACAAATAAAAATATCACTTGTTTCTTCTCTTTTGATATTTTTATATCCGATATTTGGACATAAATCTATCTTTTTTCTTATCCTTTCTCTTTCTCTTTCTTTCCTCTCTTTTTCTCTTCTTTTCTGTATGTTTTTCTTCGTCATCTATCTCAGCAAAATGAACATATTTATAGTAGAAAAATTTGATTGGCATTACGTTGGGAAATTTGATTAGCAACGGATTATTCCGTTGGTAAAACTCATATTTCTTGTAGTCGAGGGAGCAGATAAAGCCTGGAGAAAGATCAAATAAATGTTGACCAGATATGCAAATGCCAGGTTGCTACGCGTTTTCTCCTTCCCCATAATCTATTGATTAATATTCTTCCATGTGATTGAGTTTTAGTTGTAGTGGTTGGTCTGCCACTTACAATTATGATACTAAATAATTACAATAATATTTACACTCAATCATTTAACAACAAATCAATCATTTAACAACAATCCCCACATGGGTGTAAATAAATAAATATAGGTTATTGTGCTCAATCCTCACAAAACTCTATTACATCAGAGAAGGTAGGTTTTGGCTTTGAACCTCTCTTAGTAAACATCATCGGATACACTAGCGGCCTAATGGACATTATTGACGAGCGTTTTCGTTCAACGGTTAAAATGATGAATAACGAAAGTGCGGGAATGAGATCAAAGGAAAGGTATAATTTAATTACGATTGTATTATGCTATCACGAGGTCGGCCTCTCGTACGAGGTCGACACTTGCGATATACTTACAATCCTTGCAAAGGATTTCTTACAGTTTTAGAGAGAGAAAGTAGAGAGAAGGCAGAGTTAGTTGAGATTCAACAACCTAAAATAAATGAAATGAGTTGCTATTTATAGTATCCTTAAATGAGGTACTGTTCATGTACTGTTCACCGGTCTTGTCGCACAGTAGTTTTGCAGAGCAGTTTGGCGTCTCCCTAACATCTATTTAATGTGATTTGAGATTTCTTCAATTATTTCCTGTCAGGCATTTAATGCAGGCATGTGGGGCATTAAATGCTGGCATGCTTTCTTGACTAGGCTCGCTCGTAGAGTGACAGGCTATGACTGCCCGTCCCATCGTCCAATAATGACCTTCAAAGTGGGAATATTTTAATGCTTACCGAGCCCTGTCCTTGCCTTTTGGATGGCCGTTCCGGATCTTTAGGTCGGCACTTCTCCCGATATGCTTGTAGGGCGCCCGGGATCCATCTTTCAGCCCGGCACCCATCCAGGTCGGCTCGTGCATTTACTGAGCCGAGTGCCGGTCTCGGAGAACGCTCCCATGAGCACTTTGTTTCCCGGTTCATCTCGACACTTCTACTCCAGACCGGGTCCTAAGCCCGGGTTTTTGGTATTGATGTCTTTCCGATTCACTCCTGGCTAACTCAGATATCAACATACAAGCCCTCGAGATGATGTTGAGACCGACGCCGCTGTCGAGGCCGTGACCACAGCTCCTCTCGAGAGCTAGCGCCGGCCTCCGCGTGTTTGGGCAACCCCGTCAATGATGACGGCCTAGAACGTGTCCTCGATCCTAAGCGATGTCGACCTAGCACAACTGAGAGGCAAGGCGAGCTTCAGTGCCGGGGTCCATATTTTTGCTCCTTACGCTGGCGAGCGTATTCACTGCCCACCGCTGGGATGCATCGAGATATACCGCCATAACATTTGATTCGGCCTTCGCTTTCCTTTGCCCGACATCATGTGCGAGATTCTAGGCGATCTCGACATCGGGATTAGCCAGCTCTTGCCAACGGCCTTCGCCCGGTTGATCAGTTTGATAGTCATGTTCCGGAAGCAGGGCTGGGCTGACCCTAAGAGTACCGACGTGAAGTCTCTTCTTGTTTTCAAGAAGTTTGGAGACACCGGCAATTACTACAGCTCGGTTGCACCCGAGATTGATAGGTCGCTGATCCACAAAGTCCCGCTCTGAGCTTATGGTAGCGATTCAAAATAGGGTTGAAGATGAAGAAATGGGTTGATATGTGGAAAATGCTTGGGCCATCTCTGTGAGTTTGGGTCAGAGACTCATCTTACAAGGGCCAGAGAATAATTACTTTATTTGGGCTAGGAAAATAAACTAATTTGAGCCGAATATACTCAACTGAAACGGGCCAGAAATTAATTTATTTTGAGATGAAAAATATAAATTCCACGGTTCGGATAAAATGCCAAGGAAACAAGTTCAAATGGATCGAAAACGACTTTATGCGATTAAGCCGAAAATTTTATGTTGAATGATTAATAAACAAATTAACTCTAACTAAGCCATACACAACAATAATAAAATAAAATCATCCATCTAATAATACAATAATAGTGTCGATAGAACATTCACGCATAGACGAGCCATTTAATATATAATCGAAGGCAAGCAGAAAAATCCAAGTAATAGAGGCAATAATAAATCAAAGCAAGTAAATAAATATATAAGGCACATAAATCACATAAAACGAAAGGGGCGCTACAATTTACCTTTCTTAAGTGATTTCCGTCCTCGGAAATACAAGAAACCAGGGAAACAAAGGAACGATAGCTACAAGAAAGAGGTTCAAACCACGAAGTTCAGATATCGCCTCCGAACTCATCCCCACTTTCCTAAGCCGTATTGTCCTATACTCATGTGTACACCCTCTCATACTGGACCCAATCTACCTCGCCCTATGCTCACGTGCACACCCTCTTGCATTGGAGGTCAGAGAGGTGGAAGAGAGAATTGCTATGAAAACTCATATCTTATTTCACAGGAGAAGTGATTACAACATATGTTCTCAACGGCAGAAAGATGAAAGCTACATATATATATTTATAGAAAAAGATACAGGGAAAAAGACTATAAAACCCTCTATTTAACTACTAGCATAACTAACAGACTTAACAATTATCCAATCACACTAGTCTGCCTTAGTCATCATGCATTATCCAACAGAGACAAAAAGAACTTCAGAATTGAACATTGAAGTTGAAACACAACTGAGATATGAAAAACAAAACAAAAATAGCAAAAAAACTACACATCATCAATAAATAATTAGAATAATTCCTCCATTTTTACCGTCTTTAGAATTTATTTATACTTTTCCTCTGTTGTGTAAAATACTATGTTCTTGTATTTGTTAAATCGAATTATAAAATGTTTATCTCATCAAAACTAATCAAAATGCACCAAGTAATTTTTAAGACTTCTTAATACTTATTAGGATTTCAAAGACAAAATAAATATACGATTATGGCAAATCAAATCCCACATAAAATAATAAGATTTCAATGGATTCTATCATTAGTCCTATTGGGCATCGATCAAAATACGACTTCTATCGAGCTCATTGCTTCGGGGAAGTCTTCAGTAGATAGATTGATGAGAAATCGTGGCGTGGAACAAGTAAAATAATCTCTTAAACACAGAATAGCTTATGAATAATGTTAGAACGCTTAATCACAAGTTTTCAATCACAATGAGGTTCGTTTTATGGTCTTCTTTAACTAAACTTCTTTATCGCCTTTTTAAGAGGTATTGCCGTATTGGGACGTGCAACGGTTGGCAATCATCGGGGCTTCGTATCTCTATAGGTTTTACCTGTACGTATTATATAATACGAGCATCGTACGAAAAGTTTATAAGGCCAAGTTTTTCTTTGAAAGAAAGGCCTCGACGGAACTCTCCAGTGCAACTAGTTTCCCAAATATAGAGCTCAAAAATGGATCGATATTAGTAGCAAAATACCTTCTAACATAAATATTGATATCTATGTAAATCTGCAGACCAATATAGCAATATTTACTCGTTCGGGTTATTTTCAAGCTGCTGCAAGCATACCTTCACGAAAGGTAAAACGACCCCAATTAGCTCGTCTTGATGCGAAGTAAAGCAGTGATCGGCTCCTTGTATGATTCGCAAACAGTTGTTTTGTATAATCTTGCCAAACTCGATTCCATCTTCTACTGGGATTATTTCGTCTGCTGATCCGTGAACTATCAATACCCTGGATGCAATACAAGGTTTTAGACATAATTTAGAATCTATAAGTGTTCGAATTCTCTATGATGTCTGGACGAAAAAGTAAATACATGCAAGAAAACCACATGAGATGTTTAAGTTTAAATGGGTCATTGTAATATTTTTTGTATTTTTCTTTTGAAAAATAAAAAACTAAAGGCGATTATAGTAAAAAAAAAAAAAAATGTTCATAATGCTGACCGGCATTTCTTATCAATTGTAAGGGCGGATTTGTGCATGTCTGTATTGAGTCTCTCCATCATACTCTCTAACGTGACTCGATAATCAACTTCTCCTGTGAAGAGACGAAACATTTAATTCATTGAAGATGGCCTTATGCGCGCAGCTAATGATACGTAAAGAATATTAGCATAACACAAATTGTTAATTGTTAGCCGCAAGTAGCCGGAACCTTTAAAATGAAATTAATCAAAACACGAAATGTTGCAAATTCTCTCACCTGATTTAGTCTTAATATCGATGTATCCATCCTTATTGAGTCGATCCATGAAATCTTTTCCCAACCGCTCTTCAAGTCCTCGCTTGAGATCATATCGGCCAGAGATATTCACCACGGCTGGTATATCGTGATATTTTGATGCATACAGAAGGACCACACCTCCGCCTGAAACGCGCGTGGAAAAGTTAGATATTGATTTTGAAATATTCCGAATGGGTGAGCCTCTACATGGATTTATACACAAGGAAAAAAAAAAAGTGAAGAAAAGTTGGGAAACATAAAAACCTCACAAAATACCTTTACTATGGCCAACAACCGCAACTGTTGAACGGTTCAATCCGATGAAGTACTCAACCACAGATCTAAGGTCTTCAACCTCGCTAGAGTAGTTACCAAATTCAAATGTACCTTCACTTTCCCTGCAAAAAAAATAAAAATAAAAAAGATAAACGAAAAAGAGAGGATTTTAGTTGCAAAACAAATATTTGAGATCAGCAAGTGAATAAATGCATCAACTGAAGAAGTGTGACACCTACAGAAAACGGGACAAGGTATTCAGGGTTAACCAGGATCATTGATTATGAGAAAATGAAATTCCAGCTATTTTTTCATTCGTTCCTTCCTGCTTGACTCTCAGTCTTCGACTCGGACCAAATACATATATCCTTCTCCAATATACATTCCTCTTGTTTAAACGAGCCCGGCTCGTTCGTTTACTTAACGAGCCGAGCTCGTACAACTAATCGAGCTCATTTATTAAACGAGCTAAGAAGAGCTTGTTCACGAACTACTCATTTATTTTATTTGTTAAATAAATGTTCATAGGTTTTGAACGAACATTCTAGTCGAGCATGTTCGTGAATGCACAAATTATGATCACAAACAACTCGTTTACGATTTTGAGTTTGTTAAACAATACGGGACGAGCTCGAGGCGAGTCTTTGGCTCGTTTATCAAAAGAGCGCGAGCTCGAACATGAGCTACTCGGCCCGGCCCAAATAACACCCCTATTTAGTAGCCAGGACAAGGACAAGGATGAGGGAACATAAGCTCCATATGAGAAAATTATCAAGTAAATTTTGTTCATAATTGCCAATAACTATCGTGCACTCAGAACCAAGTATGATTATCACATAATTGATACTTTACCGAGTCTTCTTCACTATTTTTTCCACTGAAACAAACAGTATGGGCTTTCAGTAATATGCTATATCAAGCAACAATGGAACAGAACAGCACATTAACTGCATAAAAAAAATGAATATAGTCTCTGCATGGAAAAACCAAGTCTCAATTTCCAGCATAATGAAATATCCAGATGCAATATTTACTCAGTCATTTTGGAAATTAGTCATTAACATACAAAGAAATGCAAAAGAATACAATCAAATCATTTTGGCAACATTTTTAACTTACTAATATTGGCCCATGCAAAAATAATCAAAGCAATGGTAAGCTATGCTACCTGGACTCGGATATGGGTGCGCATTGGGTGTGGAGATATGAGCGTCCGACTCGTCAATAGTTTAGAAATCTTGAACATTTTAGGCTAAAATGCCCCAACCGACACTCATACCCACACCAGTGTCGACACAACATGACACGGGCATTCTTCCTAAATAGAAGAGTCCAGGTAACATAGATGGTAAGATCATCTACAAACTATAATGCATTGGGCCTATTAGCGAAAATGTGTCATTCCACATAAAAAATTACTCTCCGTAAAAGAAAATGTTCTCCAATGCAAGTAATAAAGATGACAAATCTATCTTATATGGCGTTATAAAAAGTAGACCAAATCCATGCTACGGTCAATATTGAGTCCCAAGTTGAGACATCACGAGTCAACGAATCAAAAATTAATTACCAAGTTTATCCTTTTACATTTTTCTTCAATGTCAATATTTTTCCTTGAATGTTTGCAGACTTTAAGTTTAGTCGTGCATTGCAGATGAGATCTATTTTTACAAGGTCCAAATCCACATCATGCTAAGATCTATTTGCATGTCACGTAAGCCAAAACAGACTTTACGGATTCGAGATGCTCTGGAAAGAGCTATCTTTCAAAACGTTTATTCTTGAAACAATAGCCGAATAAGCTATACGTGCAAGGCCTTACCCATTTCCAGAGAAATCAAAACGAAATGCACTGATTCCTTCATTTTCTAAAGCAGTAGCGAGGTTGACCATCATACTGTACTCCTACATATTGAGGTATTCACGATAGGATTAGAGAAATTAATGCCTTAACTGGAAACCAGCTGCCACACTGAGCTATCTGTAGAGCTTAGAAAAATTGGTCAAGATAGGCACAGGATGAAAACCAACAAACCATATGAGGTTAGAAGAACCTTTGTGGATTTGAAACCATGGCAAAGAACTACAAGTTTTGGTGATCCTGTCTCATGCAACACACCAACAAGCTTTTCACCATGCTTGTTCAGCAATGCTATTTTCTGCTGCATAGCTGATAAAAAATTGTAATAACATTCATTAGTAATCACTCCAAAAGAGGGAAAAAAAACACACAAAAACACGAACGCATAAAAAAATAAATAAATAAATAATAAAGAAACAAAGGTTAAACGAATAAGATTTTTTATTGCTATCATTTTTAAGCTATATCTTGTAGGATGCTTTGGCAGAGATAGATATTATGTATTAACGTTTGAGAAAAAAATATTAGAACTGTTTACTAATTGCAACATCAAGAACAGTTTCCATACCTCATGACATCCAAGCACAAAGAGAAAAAAAAAAATCATCAACTTGTGATTATAAATTTATAATCCGGGTCCAAAAGTCATAAATTTTAATGCAAAAACTGCATGTTTGTTCTGAGACTTGAAACTCCAGATTCCAAACACTATATAGACAAACAAAACTTCGATAGAATCACTAATTAGCTCAACTTAACAACTAATACTAGTAAGCAAAACAAACATTCACTTTGTACTTACAACCTCAAGACTAGACAAACTTCAACAAGTCCCAATAGGTATGATGGCAAGACAAAGTTACTCAATTCAAATATTGCCTGAAGTTTCTCACTTCAACATGTCTTATATATGAGATAGATTGCTTAAAAAAAACTGAATTTCTTGAACATGATAAACTGTCAGGACACAAAAGATTCCTAAGACCCAGTCCCCATATGGTTCGAATCTAAGATTATACAGTCTACTGCACGAATAAATTACTCACGAAGCAGCTGCTGGAGAAAAGCACTTCATTTGCTTATGTTGAATCAAAAATTGCTCATTCCTAATAAATAGTATTAAAGAATATCCAACTGATCAGTAATGCCAATGGAACACTGAACGCATATTCCTTTCCAAGCTTGAAAATCGAAACACACGTACACCATTACACTCAGACAAGTGATCACTGAGTACAACATTCTTTCTCATCTCTTTTACCAGAGACAACAAAGAACTGATTAATCACAAGCCAAAGCAGCACCAAAAGTTGACTGGTGATAATGTAAAACATTTGCTTACTGGGTTTTTCTTCACTGTAATTTATGTAATTATGTAAAATCTTAATTGGCACAAACATCTCTCGGCTGGGTTGTGAATCTACACTTCATTCAACCTTTTCATGGGTGCCCACAGCCCATTTAAGAAAACAAAACATCAAAACTTAAAATCTATGAGCTTTTTTTGATCTCTCATAGATCAAACTGAAAGGGGCGAATGTGTTCAAGAATCAATACATTCCAAAACAAATACCTGCGATTTGCGATGTGACGATGTTTGTTCTGAATTTGATTCGTTGGCTACAGGAAGAAAAGCGGAGGCTGATGTTTTGGATAACATATGAAGAAGCTTTGGTTGAATTTATGGTGTTTGTGGGGGCAAAATTGGAATAGAGTAACATATTTCTCTCCAGTCAATCAAAATTTTGGAAGAGGAACAAAAGATTGAATAGGTGGAGTAGTTTCGTTTTTATAACCTCTTGTTTATTAACTAAATTAAATTCAAACTAAAATATAATTTTTTATTTTTTTTTTGTAATTTATTCAGTTCGTGAGCATGTTTATGTGGGAAAAACGCTTGACGGATTAGTCGGTTCCTCTATGGATCCGAAAACCGGAAGGTCCCTGTACCAAAAAAAAAAAA